CATCAGTAATTCAGAGGTCCTGTCTTCGAAAGCTGCTGTGGCTTAGATTTTCATTGTATATTCAATCCCTACTACCAAACCTTGGCTATCTGACATAGTCAAATGAGGATCCTAACTCACTGAAGAGTAATAGGATTCAGCGGAACTGTCTTTTTAAAACTGTACATTCTTTTTGTCAACTAATGTGTTTGGTTATCCTCTTAACTATCAAGTTGAATCTCCACTGGCCTTCTTTCTATGCTAGGAATGTCTATGTGTCTATATTCCATTATATAAAAGACGAAATGAATTGGAGTAAGTTGTTGGTTGATTCCTCACTGTATCAGAAAAATGCAATTGGAATTACCTAGAAGTTATGAGGACTGACTGATGACTTATAGGAAGTTGCAAAGATGATGAATTCCTCACTGAATAAAATACCAACGTCTTAAGGAGTTAAGTGGTTACCAATGGATTGACTTAAATGGATATGGTAATTTATCATTACTACTGCGTATTATGAAGGCCTTTGACAGCGTCGACCGAGAAGTAATTTGGAAACTGCTTCAATACTACGGAGTACCGCAAACCTTTATCCGCCTCATTCAACAACTATATGAAGATGCCACATGCTGGCCAAGTAATTCACAATGGGAAGCTCAGTGATGCCTTTGAAGTGAAGACAGGAGTGAAACAAGGTTGCCTACTATCCCCCATGATATTCCTGATTGTGATGGACTAGATCATGCAGCAAACAGTGGGCAGCGAGAAGAGGGGGATACGCTGGCTGGACTGCGGAAAAGAACCTAGAAGACTTGGATTTCGCCAGTGATGACTTGTGCCTGATGTCACATAAACTTGAAGATCTGCAGGCAAAAACTAACAAGTTGATAGAAGAGGCAGCGAAAACGGGACTTCAGGTGAATATAGAGAAGACAGAAGTGATGAAGATACCGCACCACCACCATCAACAACAACAACAAACTCCAGTCACCATCAACGGGAGAAACTTGAAGGAAGTAACCTCCTTCACTTATCTAGGAAGCACTGTTTCAACTACAGGCGGGACGGACGAGGATGTCAAAGTCAGAATGGGAAAAGCAAGACAGGCGTTCATTAGCCTGAAACCAGTGTGGAGATATTCTGCACTCAGCATGCGGAACAAGATACGGATTTTCAACACCAACCTAGTCAAGTCAGTGCTCTTGTATGGTTCAGAGACTTGGCGCGTCACGAAAGGGATTTCCAATAAACTACAGACATTCATCAACAACTGCTTACGCTCGCTACTGAAGATCAGATGGCCAGAAAGAATAAGCAACAAGGAACTCTGGCTGGGAACGAACCAACCAAGAACCTATCACTCAACAAATATGCAGGAAGAAGTGGAGATAGATTGGCCATGCACTGAGAAGGCCGACTGAGGACATCACGCGTCAGGCCAGTTGCTCGAGTGGAATCCCCATGGGAAGCGACGAGTTGGACGTCGGAGGCGAGGGTGACATGGAGGAGGTCGTGCGAGGAGGAAATGAGAGCTTCTGGGCTGTCGTGGGACCAGGTTCAAAAGGTCTCAGAGAACAGAGGTCACTGGAGGCGTGCTACTGAAGCCCTATGTTTCACTAGGAACCCAAGGGACTAATAATAATAATATTAATATATGATTGCGTAATATGGTACAATTCAGCTCTTGTTATTCCATAGTTTCCAAATAACATCAAGGATAATAAAAGATCGTGTATTTACTTCCCTTGACAAATTTGAATCATACACAAACAAATAAATTTGTAGAATAAACTGAGCTCAGATAATAGAGAATATTTAAAGCTTAGGAGGATAATTTTGATGGTATTGTGTTCTCTAAGTTGGACTGCTTGATCGTAGAGCTTTCGTTGTCATTCTGAACAACATCATCAACATAAAATTAAGAAAGAGGTGAGTAATAACATTCTCTCCACAATTTATTTACTAACTTGTCCTTATGATCATGTATGCATTGATATGAGTGAAGGTATGTCATTACGCTTCAATGATAGTTGGTGTTCATGTAGACGGATATGAAGACAGCAGATGACCAATTTGTCCAATGTAGTGTCTTTCACAGTTTATGCAGTTTATTTTGTAGATAATATTTGGTTTGTCTACCTTCATAAAAGAGACTCAAGGGATTTTGTGGGCTTTTGGTGTATAGCTATTCCGAAAGCTTTTAATAATCTAGTCAGGATCTCAGAAACGTTCTTCATGTAGGTTAGGACAATCCATTTGTTAGTTTCCAAGGTTAAATTCTTAGTCGATGACAAATTATGTATGTATGTGTCAATACATGCAGACAACTGTGGGCATGAATTTAACTAGAAAAATGTGGGAATCCTGGATAGAGGAAATATAAAGAATGTCAGAGGATATCTGGAAGCTTGCTTTCCAGATCATTCACCAATCAACAGTTATATCGACATTTAGCCAATCTATCAACCAATAAGAAACGTCAGAAAGGTCAAATTTCAGGTCATCAGGACAGCCAATCAAAATCAGTATGAAGATAATGGCACGATCCTGAGAGTAGCAACCAATCATACACAAGGCCATCAGGACAAGTTAGTAAATAAATTGTGGTAAGAACGTCATTACTCACTTCTTTCTTAATTTCATGCTGATGATGTTGTCCAGAATGACAACGAAACCTCCACAATCAAACAATCCAACTTGCAGAACATAAAATCATCAAAATGATCACCATTTATTTTGCCGCCTTTCATTAGCTGTAAACAGCTTACAACTGAAACAAATTACTATGAGTGGTAGTAATAAAATAATATACTTTAAATACACAGAAATAAATGAAGATTAGAAATCCAAGGTAGTGAGGTAATTATTATTTGAGGTTTAAATAATCACAAATCGTAGTTAAAATCAGTGATGAAATCGAAAATTCTGGAGCTGTGAAGTGGATGGGTGGAGGGGGGGTTGGAGGATATCAAACAAATAGGAATGTAAAAGAATAGTTTGTTAAAGAGGTAGTCAATTAGGTAGTTTCATAAAAAGACTAGGGAAACCGAGTCATTAGTAGTCAGTAAGGAGATGACGCAATCAAAACAAAAGTAGGCGATGTTCATACACATCATAAAAAGAATATTCAATGAATTTATTCTCAAGCTGTACATTCATAATCTGTTAGGACGATTGAACTTAAATAATAGGGGATTGAAACAATAATAACAGTAGTGATATTTATAATGTTGCTATACATACATATACGAAAAATATACTCACTCACCAAGGTAAAGAAAGGTTAATTACAGTCTTTTTCTGAATACATAGGTCACGTTGAAAATGTTTGATGATGAGAGCTTCCATAAATCGTAGTAAACTTGACGTCTTCTGTTTGTTGATCATCCTGAAGGAGTGAGTTACGGCTATTTGATGTGCTGTTTCCATCAGATGCCTAACGAACGCACTGGTATACACCTTACTGCCTTTCAAAGACAGATTCCTTGAGTAGATGCCCTGCTTTTGATCAGTCTCATTTACTTTCTTCCACAAGCTTAAGTAAATTGATATATACAGTTGAAGGTGATGTCAAATGGGTATTAGTTTACCTTCAACTATATAACTGAGCATAATGTATTCTAAACTGAGATCAGTCTGACAGAAAGGAAGCACTTTCTCAGTGCAACTTTTATTCTCCTGTCAATTTTTTTTAGATATCCCATCACCTTTGAATACTAGACAATGGAAAACAGGTTTCTTCTCAATAGTTGTGTTTACGTCCCTCAATAAACTCTTTTCCATGCTTCACGATGTCAGTTCTCTATAAAAGTCTTCTCAAAGACAGCGAGTTCTTCTTCCAGTTTTTTTTTACTTGAACATAAAGTTTTTATTCTAGTGAAGGAATTTCTAGCTAAATCATACTTATAGCTGACAAAACAGAGAATATTCCAGGGAACCTGTTGAACAATTCACTGTCAGTCAATTTATTTCTGCTTGAAACAGAAAAAAGTATTGATGAAAGATATTCTTCCTAAATTTTATAGACGTTCTTCAATTTGAAGGTCACCAGGGATTTATTGATTTCCGCTGTTTACTTCTAGTATCAGACTTCTCAAAGGTGTACACTCATGAACTTCCCCTTCAAGACATCGAATCCACAACCCACAGAAAAAACTGAGTTCCATTATTATTAATATTTTACCATGTGTTCTTAATGGAACATACGGCTTCCGTAACACGTCTCCAGTGCACTCTCTTATATGCAGTCTTCTCAACCCGACTTCACGACTGCCCACAAGCTTTCATTCCTTCCTCACATCATCTCCTCCATGTCACCGTCACCCAACCACCGATGCCCAACTCGTCATTTCACCTTCGCATTCCACTCCAGTACCTAGGATGGCACACAATGTCCAAAACCGTCTTCTCACTGCATGCCCAATCCAATCCATCTCCACTTCATTCCACTGCATATTTGTTGCCTGATAGGTTCAACACTCGTTGGTTTATTGCCAGTTCACAGTTCCTTCTCACTTATTCCTATTATTCTGGTCATCCATCTGATCTTCAGTGTCTGTATCGAGTGAGTGTATGTGTGAGTTGTTCATGAATGTCTGTAGTTTATTGGAAGTATTTTTCCTAACTCGCTAAGTTTCTGAACAATAAAGCAGCGCTGACTTGACATTGGTATTGAGAATCCGGATCTTGTTCTTTGCGTTGAGTGCAGTAGATTGAACTATGGCAAAATTATAACCATTCTGTTTGTAATGTTACTGATAAGCTTGTTTACAGACCAGCATATTTTTATACCCATTTTGGTGAGAAAATTAAATATGAATCTTTGATATGAGTAAATGTATCTAGTACTTCAGTTTTTCATCATATTTTCCATCCTACTTTGTGGTTACTTTATTATTGAAAGTTTCGACTAATAATTTTCTAGTAAATCCTTAACGTTGTTCATTGACTGACAGCTTCTTATGCGTAGACAGTTTATCGTTTGTGTTTTGAAATATCCATAATTATTTTCTTCACAGGTTGCTCATCTTGTCTGCCTATCGAATCTACATTTTGTTGGACGTTATCTGTCGAATAAATTTGCCAAATGTCTAACGTTTCTGGGTGAGTAAGACGTTTTGGAGTGTGTATAATGCCACTTTTTTTTCATATTCGTAAGTATATTAATGGTGAGATATTCTATGAAGCAGCCGACTTTGTCCTAGTATACGGTTGTGATATATAATGACTAAACGCTTGAAACAGGGAAATACTACTACTACTACTACTACTACTACTACTACTACTACTACTGCCTCCGTAGCGTTAGCTGATTGAGGTAAAATCACTGTGTAACTGAGCAATGTTGAGGTCAGGTGGAGGTTAATTGGTAATGACAGGCTAGCTTTGAATTGTGCATCGATTGAGATGGCTTGGATATGTGTAGCGCATGCCTAACCACCACCTATATCGAGATTCTACATCCTCGATCTTTGCCTCACAATATACTTCCAATTCAGTGGCAAGATATACAAATAGATGAAAGGAACCCCAATGAGATCACTGATATCCGGATTCACTACAGATGCAGTGATGCAGACACTGGAAGTCATCATCCTACCTGTGATCAAACCAGATATTTCGATTCTCTCTGTACACGACACTTTTGTCATCATTAAAAAGGATGATATAGAAAACACTCACAGTTTGATTATCAACGTTTTCAATGACATCCAATTCACAATGGAGAAGGAGTCAAACAACAAACTACCACTCCTGGATGTTTTAGTCGAACAACCGAAAACCAAAGTGTACAGTTAGTCAACGCTCATTGACCAAATCCTCAACTACAGTAGTAACAACCCAACAACACACAAAATTAGTTGTGTGCAGACTCTATTAAGAAAAGTGAGAGCACACTGCAGTACAACAACTTCACGGAGAAACGAAGAAAATTACTTGATGTCCATCCTAAAGAAGGACGGATACCTACGAAACTTTATCAGAACATGCCTATCCCGTACATCATCAACTACAAAGTCATCGACAGAAATCAATAAAAGCATCATCCTACCATACACGAAGAATATATCAGAAATGAGGACAAGATTACTGAGGCAAACCACTTGGAATTGGTGTTGCTCATAAACCAGCAAATTCATCTCAAAGCATATTATGCAATCCAAAGTAGGCAACGGCCAAGGAAGACAAAGTGGCCACCCTCTTCATCTTCCTTTTCATGAACACCAACTGGCTATTCAATGTCATGACATTTCATCACCCATTTCAATGCATATGGATAACAACTATGGACATGAAGTGAATTTGGACAATGTAGAAATGTTGGAGAGAGAGAGAGTGAGGAAACACAAAGAATATCAGAGAATTCCTAGAAGCTTAGCATTCAGGTTAATAACCAATCAGTGGATGTGTATACATAGACTCAATCTATCAGTCAATAAGAAAATTGATAAACAACAGAAAGGTGAGATGTTAAGCAGAGGAATAGTCAACAGGAAAACCTATGCATTCAGTCAATGACACAACAATCGAAGGGAACATACAATCAGAAAGCAGTTGTTCAGGGCAGGCTACTGACAGCTCACTTCTCATTGAATTTAGTACTTATGATGTCATCTAGAAAGATAATGAAAGCCTGACGATTTAACACAGTAGCTCAAAGAACACAATACAAACAAAAACGTAAAATCAGTTTTCGGGTCAGTTGATTAGTCGGAATATATTAAATGTTCAGGGATAGAATTCCTAATGTATTTCCTTTTACACTTGTCAAATTAGGATGGAATATGTTCTCGTTTACGTGTTGACAGGCAATTCCTTGCCACAGCTGATAGATATAAATGAAGTTGACCTATCGGGGGGGGGGGGGCGTGTTGTCTTTTCCGTAAACGTAAAACTATTTAAGACTAGTAAAGGTCAAATGAAATTTTGTTGTTACAAATGTCCTGCTAATTGATCTGGAAAGACGATTTTTCAACATATCTGATGTTACATCACCTTAAGACTCCAGTTGGGTTTCTTTTAAAACTCAGTTGATGACTACTTTTTCATATCTTTTTACTAACAAATCGTGTAGGATGGTTCTTTTTTGTAAGCGTACTTTCTTAAGAAGTCTAGTTCCACTTGCATATAACCAGACCTACAAATAGTTAGTATTCATTAGCACAATGAGTGAATAAGGTTTCATTTCCTCATGATCGGTGCCCGACCGTAGAAATTAGGAAGGCGTGTGTTCCTATGAACGACCTAAAAACTCTTACATAACCTCTTTTTGTAATGTTTCAATAATTACTTCATCAACTAGCAAAGTTATAATGACTATAATCATCATTTCAACCTCCGATTAGTTTTTCTCATGGATTGCAGTCTTTAAATACCATATGTATTATGTATACGTTAAATTTACATCTTGAGAAGAAAATCCATCGAAAGAAGTCCTCGTCATTAAATATCTTATTTTTGATACCTATTAAAACTTAGGTACAGCATTGACTACTGACCAAATATACCTATAAGTAGTAGATATCGGTTTATGTAGCTCAAAGTTATCCTTCAACTGGTTCTGTTAATAATGCTTTTCATTTATCGATTGATCCATGAATTTCTTCATGAAATTCTATCCATTTTCAAACTTCAACAGCACAAAAATAAGATGTATAGCTTTTTGGTTATATCAAGAAGAAGGTCATCATGCATTGAGTAACGCGACTGGATATCTTCTGATTGATACTGGATACAGCCTTGACAACCTCATCATTCTAAAGAAGCCTATCAAGTTTTACAGAAGTGATTACCATCAAGAAACTTGAACCAAATCTATGTATTCAAAAACCTACAGTTTTCAATTAGAAATTACTATCGAAATTACTTTATGCCTTTGAAGTGAAGATAGGAGTAAGACAAATCTGTCTACTATCACCCATGATATTTCTGATTGTGGTGGACTAGATCATGCAATAAACAGTGAGTGGCGAGTAAAGGAGGATAAGATGGACAGGGGAGAAGATACCAGAAGACTTGGATTTCGCCGATGACTTATGTCTAATGTCACACAAACCTGAAGATATAAAGGCGAAAACTAACAACTTATCAAAAGAGGCAGGGCAACGAAGGAATACGAGACTTCAAGTCTACATAGAGAAGACAGAGGTGATGAAGATACCCAAACAAAAACAAAAAGTAGCCTCTTTCACCTATCTGGGCAGCATCGTCTCAACTACAGACAACACAAGCATAGATGAGCATGTCAAAGCCAACCAAGATCGAAAACACACCAAGACACGCTACCCTTCATCAACATGAAACCTGTGTGCACATCTACTACACTCAACTCAGCATAAAGCCTGAACAATATCCGGATTTCCAACACCAACTTCAGTCACGTCAGTGCTCCCATGTGATGGTTCAGAGATGTGGCGCATTACGAAATGCATTTCCAACAAACTACAGACATTCATGAACAACTCACACATACACTCACTCGATACAGACACTGAAGAGTAGATGGATGACCAGAATGATAGGAATAAGTAAGAAGGAACTGTGAACTGGCAGTGAACCAACGAGTGTTGAACCTATCAGGCAACAAATATGCAGTGGAATAAAGTGGATATGGATTGGATTGGATTGTGCATGCAGTGAGAAGACGGTTTTTGACATTGCGTGCCATCCTAGGTACTGGATTGGAATGCGAAGGTGAAACGACGAGTTGGGCATCTGAGGTGGGTGTGAGAGTGACATGGAGGAGATGATGTGATGAAGAGATGAGAGGTTGTGGGCGTTGGTGGAGCGAGGTTGTGAAGAGTGCATATGAGGGAGTTGAATGGAGACGTGTTACTGAAGCCATATGTTCCACTAGGAACCTAAGGGACAAAGAATAATAATAATAATGGAAATTACTTTGCAATAAGGTAAATACTCACTTTTAATACTTTGATGCATTTTGTTCTGACATTTTATGAAGACTCTAACTACCATACTCTTCAACGTCTTGTAAATTTAAAGCATCCTGTAGTTCCTTAATCCATGGTAATTACTTCCCCTACACGTCTGCTTCAGGAATATTCACCTAATAATAGTGTAAATAGTCAATTTTCTTCTTAACTTCCTAACAATCTCCTCCACTTTCATCATTTAATTGGTCTATGTTACCGTTTGGCTGCGTCAATAACATCTTATCAACCTTCTGAAAGTATATTCAATTCTTTTTCTGTGTACTTTGCTTGTAAACAGTTGGGAAGTCTCTTCAAAATCGCATAAATTGAACTCATATAACCCTGTTACACTTTTTGTTCTTATCATTTGTGTAAAAATCTAAAATTATTTTTCTCATTGTTCAAATTTATCATAGATTTGGAGTAACTCGTTCATTGATTCATACATTCGATCCGAATGGAAAGCGTTACAGGCCAACAATCAGTCCTACACCAGGATTTTCAGCTTCTGCTGATGCTGAAAGACTTCATAGAGCTATGAAAGGTTCAGGTTAGTTCAAGATATATATGTTTATATCTTTACTCTTCATAAATATTCACTGAGAACCTAATCTAGTTTGAGAAATGTCATAATTCATCAATGAGGTGGTTGTAGTTTTTACCGCAAGCAATCACAACTAGACAACTTAAAATTGGTAGTACTCTAGCAACCAGCTTATGTATCCAGTTGTTTCGGTTATACGAGAAAATAGGAACTAATCGTTAAGGATTGAATGTTGATGACATCGTTAAAGATTGATCACTATAGAATATGACACCTTGAATCAATGAACTTAAGTTTGAGGTTCTATGCTGACGTTTTCTGTATATATTACATTATATATTCTATATCATTTTTCATTTCTACTTGTTAACAAAACATAATTCGTTCCATACCCAGATTGAAAGGTTAGGTAGTTATTATTATGTGTCCCCTGGGTTCCCAGTGGAACATACGGCTTCAATAACACGTCTTCATTCAACTCTCTTCTCTCCAGTCTTCACAACCTCGCTCCACCAACGCCCACAACCTCTCATCTCTTCATCACATCCCCTCCTCCATGTCACCCTCACCCCAACCACCGATGCCCAACTCGTCATTTCACCTTCGCATTCCAATCCAGTACCTAGGATGGCACGCAATGTCAAAAACCGTCTTCTCACTGCATGCACAATCCAATCCAATCCATATCCACTTTATTCCACTGCATATTTGTTGCCTGATAGGTTCAACACTCGTTGGTTCATTGCCAGTTCACAGTTCCTTCTTACTTATTCCTATCATTCTGGTCATCCATCTACTCTTCAGTGTCTGTATCGAGTGAGTGTATGTGTGAGTTGTTCATGAATGTCTGTAGTTTGTTGGAAATGCATTTCGTAATGCACCACATCTCTGAAGCATCACATGGGAGCACTGACTTGACTGAAGTTGGTGTTGGAAATCCGGATATTGTTCATGCTTTATGCTGAGTTGAGTGTAGTAGATGTGCACACAGGTTTCATGTTAATGAAGGGTAGTGTGTCTTGGTGTGTTTTCGATCCTGGTTGGCTTTGACATGCTCATCTGTGCTTGTGTTGTCTGTAGTTGAGATGATGCTGTATAGGTAGGTGGACGAGACAACTTCCTTTGGATTTCCCCGTTTGATGGTGATTGGTGCTTCTTCTTCTTCTTGTTGTTTGGGTATCTTCATCACCCGTAATAAAGTAATCATTTATTGCATGTATGATACCAGTCAGTAGGATGCTCTGAAATTTCCTGAAACCTATCAGTGTAGCATAATCATATTTTTCAAAGATATACTGTTGTCTCCGTTGATTGACAATTCTACTATTCATCTGCAAAGTAAGGTATTTAGGTGGTAATGAACAATTATTTGAGTAAAATATATATTCTGAATGCCTAGTCAGAAGTGAAATACTGCTACTTTGAGTAAAGTGCTTACATTTCCTCTGTTTCTGAGGACAATTTACATTCAACGTTCAGTTTTCCCTTCAGATTACCTCCAACCTTCCAGAATTAAACAGTGTTCGTTAAAACATAGCTGTCCATGCCTTAGTTGTTGTGGACTGGATCATGCAACAAACTGTGAGGAACGAGAAGAGGGGTATACGCTGGCTGGACCGATGAAAAGAACCTTGAAGATTTAGATTTAACCGACATTTTATGTTTAATGTCGCACAAACTCGACGATCTACAAGCGAAAACCAACAAGTTGACAGAAGAGGCAGCGAAGAGAGGACTTGAAGTGAATGTAGTGAAGACATAGGTGATGAAGATACTTAACCAAAAAAACGCACTAATCACCATTAACCGGAGAAACCTAAACCAAGTAGTTTCTTTCACCTACCCACCTACCTAAGCAGAGCAGCATCGTTTCAGCTTTAGACGGGACAGATGAGGATGTCAAAACCAGGAACGGAAAAACAGAAAGACAGGCTTTCACTTATCGGAAATCAGTGTGGAGATCTACTACACTCAACTCAGCATAAAGCCTGAACAATATCCGGATTTCCAACACCAACTTCAGTCAAGTCAGTGCTCCCATGTGATGCTTCAGAGATGTGGTGCATTACGAAATGCATTTCCAACAAACTACAGACATTCATGAACAGCTCACACATACACTCACTCGATACAGACACTGAAGAGTAGATGGATGACCAGAATGATAGGAATAAGTAAGAAGGAACTGTGAACTGGCAATGAACCAACGAGTGTTGAACCTATCAGGCAACAAATATGCAGTGGAATGAAGTGGATATGGATTGGATTGGGCATACACTGAGAAGGACGATTGGAGACATCACGCGCCCGGCCAGGCCTTCAAGTGGAATGCAAAGGGGTAAGGATGAGTTGGGCATCGGCGGTTGGGGTGAGGGTGACATGGAGGAGATGATGTGAGGAAGGAATGAATGCTTGTGTGCAGTCGTTGCGCCAGGTTATGAAGACTGGAGAGAAGAGAGTTGAATGGAGGCGTGTTCCTGAAGCCGTATGTTCCACCAGGAATCCAAGGGAAAAGTAATAATAGTGTCTTGGTTGTTGCACTGCAGTGTTGGTCAGTAGAATCATATTCTCATTAAGCTAGACAATGTAACCTCATTTGTTATGTGGTGTCCAGATGATTAGCTATACGTTTAATTAATCCATAAGTATTTCGTTGCAAATCAATAACTCTTGACATTTGATCAGTTAATACTATTACAATACATTCCACTTACTAATACGCATTCTAATAAGTGAATACTTTTCAATAGTTTCAAAGGGTGAACTAATAGTTGCCGAATCTTCTATAGAATATTTCGACATTTCAGTACACCCCGTGAACACTAAAAAGTTGACCTTGAGTTGTGTAGATTAAGTCAGTTTAAAGTCGAACACTAAACATTACTTTCTATCATGGAGAAAATAGTTTTCTACAGGTTTTACATATACTCTTACTATTGTCAATTATAAAGGGAGGTTGAAGCCCTCCTATTAGTGTACTCTGCTAATATGAATTTTGTTTTAATCCAATTGAATAGTTCATGTGTATTACTTACGCAACAGACACAGATCAACACAAGAGACTTGAGTAGTCTGTGTACAGTTAACTTCGACCTGGTCATCTCCATCTTTGTGACTTTCTTGTAAACTGATAGTTTCACAATTAAACACAATTGGTAATTTCTTCATGGAACGACTAACTGTTGTGTTATTTATAGTCAGTTGGTCATAAGGCTTGTGCTTCAGTACATGGAGTCTATAATGCCTACTGAATAGATCAAAACAGTTTTACCTACTACTTTTAACATAAGGTGACTATTTGAAGTGAACGTTTCAACATTCTGACATACATATACCCAGTATAATTGTGATATTCACTGTACAGTTTCATTTTCCAACTTGAGTATACGTTTTCAAATGTCTTAGTGTCCTTATGATTTGAGATAGGATATCAAACCAGTTTGCTGACTGACTCATAGTATGTATAGGAAGTGTGTTAGCTGAGTATGACTGGGATGTTTTTAGAAAAGATTTGCATAGTTTGTCGGTGAATATTTGATTCCTGACTCATACACTAGTGAGGTTTTGAAGCTTCACCTACTTCTGAGTCTTCGACTTGTGTAGTGCTAGTAGAAGTTAGACTTATTTAGGAGAGGGTTTAAGGTACCTACGCTAAGATATGGCAGTAGTTCATGAAGTCACAGGCTGTTGGTCTGAATTATGTAGGGAGGTGTAGACTACCTGGCTGGGGTTGCTTAGACGACTGTTAAAGAAAAGACTGAACATTGATCACAATGGCACAGATTAATTCATCAACATCATTAATATCAAACTAGGACCAGATATTACTGCATAACGGTCCGAGTTGCCACAGCTCATATCAGTACATCAAGTAGAAACGCAGTGAGGTGAAAGATGAAAAAATTCAGTCAAAAGAAATATAAAGTACGAGAAGAAAGAAAGAATGACAAAATGGTAAGAATCCTCTTGTCCAGCGGACCCCAACCACCTAGTCTACATCGCCCCACATAGCTCAAACCAAAAGTCAACAACTTCGTGCATTGGTGCAATGTTTAAGTCTGGACACCTTGAGCCTTTTTCAAGCCTCAACCTACTTCGGCCAACATTGTGTGATGAGGCAGTCGGCGACTAGGCATACGTAACACATGTCCCAACAATCTAAGTCGATGAAGGTTCACAACCTCATCAAATAACTTACCTCTACTCCCTAAACCTGTACACCTGACATCTGCATTACTCACATAGTGACACCACGGAACACGGCCTATACTACGAAGGCAACAGTGGTCAAACACTAGAAGCCAGCCTTCTCATGCCTTCCAACTTCAATGGCCATATTTCACAGCCATACAGTAGGGCAGAGCAGACTGCTGTGCAGTACATGCGACCCTCAACAGACGAACGGATATCACGTCAGCGCCATAGGTGGCTCAAGTCGGCAAAAGCCAATCGAGCCTTTTATGTTCCTGCAGAGATTTCACTGGCCACTGACCATTGCACCACAGCTGATCCTACTTCCCAGGTAAGTGAAGTGGTCGACACACTCAACCACCTCACTCACTACTGTTAGCCGTGACACCGTTGAAGACTAATCCTGGAGCAGCAATTTGCATTTATGTGGTGAGAACTGCATCCCAAACATTCTCAAATTCCCACTCAAAGTGTTCGGAAATCTCTGCATCTTATTAGTCAGCGTCTTAACTTAACAGGACTATATCATCTGCATATTGTAGGTCTAACGAAAATTCTCCTGTGATTAGGTCAACGTCTGAGGAACCTGGTGACGAGAGGGAAACCTCCATAAGAATATCTACGATAAAATTAAATAAGAATGGGGATAGTGGGCATCCTTGACGGACAGCACTTGATGAGTATAGCTCCCTGGACAACTCGCCATAGGCTCTTACATGCCCACAACTTTTCGAGTAGAGAGCCTTCAATAACGTGATGTACTTACTCGGTACGCCTTTCAGTGAGAGACATTGTCATAAGGCTTCTCGGTCAAT